AAAGCGAATTCCAAGCAGAGAAAGTGAGGTTAAAAGGGAAAGGCATCTATATATATAAAAGGCTAATATGCAAAGTGTCCCCTCGGGAGTTCAACCGGGAGACCAGGAGTTGGATTGCTTGCTATAAAGTGTGCTGACCGCCAGGAGGCCCCAGCCAGTAGCTGGAAGGCCCCGATTGGCCCTGACCGCTGGCCAGGCCTAGGGACCCTACCCGTGTGCACTGGGCCTCTAGTATTCTATATGAAAAGTCCATAATTTACTTAATTTCTAATATTTGGTATTTAAGCTGATTTCTTCTTCAAATAGAATCACTGAATCAAAAGGTATGATCTTCTCATAGCTCTTAATGGATATTAAAAGCAGGATAATAATTTGGACACCACTCATTGCAATAATTTACATACAGTTCCTATGTTCCAAATGGTTTTTATTGATTCGACCACTGATGATCAACCAGCATTTTCTTTTCAGCCCTCCTACTGGCCTCTTCATCAGGGAATTGAAACATAAATCGACTGATTTCCAATGAGGAATGCCCAGCATCACATCACGCACACCATGCTGAATTGTACCCACATGTTCTTTACTGGAATATGATCCCTGCTACAGTCACGGGGCAGAGAAATTGTCTCAGAAAAGGATGAAAAGATTCACAGATGACTAAACATTCTTCTTCCAGCACAGATCTTCTTTTATTCAGTAATATTTTAAGTAGTTCAAATTAAACCACAAATGAAATTAAGTATTATAGAGGGAATACATTTGTTCTAGGAAAAATAGTTTCTTCTCACGCTAGAAAAATTTCCTGGGAGTTTCAAGAACTCATATGATGGGGGATCTCACATGATTGGTGGGAGGGGCAGATCTCATTCATTACTTGCTAAGCTCATAACCATAAATAATCAATGTCTTCTCTACAGAATTGCCTTAAAAATGTAGGGATACAAAAAGAAATACTACACCACACTTTGCCCCAAGGAGCTAATAGCATATGTAAGTTGTGTAAGTAAATATTGGGAGGATAGAGCTCTGAAGGGATTTCTCTTTAATGGTACCGGAGCAAGGGAGGAAATGAGACCTTGCCAGGGCAGGCTTCCTAGGGGGGAAGATCTGGGCTGCATTTGAAAGGCTCAGGAGCTATAAAGGTAAAGGGGGAGTGAGATATGGTGAGGGTATGTGGTGAGAATCTGCACTCTAGACAGAGGAATGAGCACGAGCAATGGGAAGAAATAAAAGATCAAGTGGAAGAACTACGGGCAGTTTGTAAGGAGGCAAATGAGGCTGCAAAAACAATCAGAGATGAATATGTGAAGAGTAACAAAGATGGAGAAGCCTCTGCATTTCCATCATGGGTGCTGACGGGCAGAGATAGAGATGCCCATTAGGACATGTATTAATGAATTCTCTTTCGGCCATATGGAGTTCAGGGTGCCTGTGAGGCCTCCAGGTGAAAATATACAGCAAGCAGAGAATGGATATGAATCTGAAGGATGGAAAAAGGTTCTGAGTCAGAGAGATGGATTTTGATGTTATCAGTCCAAGAGGCCATATTTGAAACTGAGGATATTTGTGATAGTTCCAGAGTCTGTGGTATGAAAAGAGAAAAGCCTATGGCCAGAACCATAGGGAACACCCAATTGTTTTGTCTACCTGATCCCAACTCCCCAGGATGACATGGCCTACTTAGGGTCCCAGGATAATTTCAAAGGATGGATAAATATAGAGGGAGGGAGAGAGGGAAGGAGATAGATAGATAGATAGATAGATAGATGTCAATTTAATTAGCATAAAACATATCCCATATCATGGGAATCAGTCAATGTCTAGAAATAAGCCTCACTCAGAAGAGGCTCTCTCTATATTTTATAAAAACTAATACTGTAATACCTTCCTAAGTTTCTTCCCAATATTTACTCCTTTCCAATACTACACCCTAAATATTCAAGTGGGGATAGGGTGGGAACATTTGTTGAAGTGGCCACTAACTAGAACCACAAGCACCAGAAAAAAAGATGTCCTGAAGCCTTATTTCCAGTGATATTTTAAACAGGCAATGACTAGGTTCTTCAAAACCCTATGCCAAACCTCAAAAACCCATAATTACTTCAATTTTATATTGCAGATGTGGGAAACAAACATTCTTCCCTTTAGTCATCTTCACTCTCATTTATACAAAGGCTAAAAATGTCTTTAATTGAACAAAATAAATCTTAAAGTAGCTGTCCCAAGGGATGTTATTATGAAGGAATTTGATTATTCTATACAATCTATATAGTGAATGGATAAGGAAACATCTTATTCTCCTGCGTGGTTATTAGATTCCCATACAGTTACTACCTAGCTTCTACATGACTATTATTTAATATAGAAAAGTGAGGAGAGAAAAAGAGCCTCTGACAGTGAAAGAAGAAGCAGTCAGAGGTTTTCAGGGAGAACCAGGAGAGAATTTCTTAGAAACTTAAGAAATAAATGTCCAAACGGAAAAATGTGACCTTGTTAATAGCAAATTTCTGATGAGAGAAGGAACAAGAAGTGGCTATTGAACTAGGCGACCAAGGCATGAGTGATCAGGATGAGAGCAGTCCCAGTGGAGGAGTTCTCAAGGGGGGAATCCACTGTGGATTACAGTGGATTGAGGGACGCAGTGGAGAGAAAAGCAAGTAAGACACTGGGTCAGAATATCCACAGAGCTTACTGAGGAATCTTTAAACTTTGAGACTCTCAGCCTCTGTTCTGTCTTCCCAACCTTTAGATAAGTTAGATTTATCTTGAAACTGGAGTCCATAAATTTTGGTCAGGACCACCATTTAGAATGAAGCCTCACCCTGCTTTCCTCTACAGATCTGTCACTCAACGACAATCAAAATTTGAGGTGGTTTGAACCTCATATCTCAGCTATATATTGCCCTTTCCACCTTAACCCTTCATCTGCCCCAGCTTTTTATGGCTCTGCATAAAGAGGAAGCTACTAGTATTTAGAGAAGTTTGAAGATGAGATATCAACTAGAAAAGGATTAGGTAAGTATTCATACATTTTTTGCTTTATTTTATTTTAATTGGGAAGCAATACACAAAGGAGCCAGTAAAGAAGGGCAGGCTAACTGCACAAGACAAAGTTATTTCCTGATGGCACAAAGTTCAGAAGGTGCTGGAAGGGATGGGCTGACTTTAAACAGGACAAGGGTGACAGATTCTCAGAGACCAGAGAAAAGGAAATAGACTTAGATCTCTGGGACAAGGGTTGGCAAATTTAGGGAGAGACTATCTGATCATCTCAATGTTCTCATATGACTACGGACAGCATTTGAAATTAGCGTCCATTAAAGAAACAACATGGTTGAGGAAAAGCCTCTTCAGAAATATTTTTATCTTCCATCAAAGTGGTTGCTTCACTTACCCATCCCCTTGCCTCCCATCTTTTATAAATCACCATGGGCACTGAGAGGAAACCAATAAAGCCACAGTGTTGGGGGAGCATGAAAGGCCTTCACTGGGGTATTCAGAAAACTAGGTACCATCTTGACCCAAATTCACATAAATCTGTACCCCAAACCATTAAGTACTCAAACAACAATTTACATCACATCACCTCCTCTGCTCTCCCCATAACTGGCCCATATGTCCCCTAACTTCTGCTATCTCTAGTTTCCTGTCTATGATTTCCACAGTGACCAGCACAATCTTGTACACAGAATAAGCCTTTAGTTAAATGAGTGAGTTAAGATCCTCTCTGCAGCAAGAAACCTTAACCCAAAATGTTTCGTCTACATTACAACTCTATTGAATCTCTGAATAGGTTAACATATAGATAGAACTCCATGAATTATTCCATTCTTGTATTGATCAAGAATTTTCGTTAATGTTAATTGGTAAAACGTTAATATTGGGGGAAATTAGGTTAAATGTATATGGAAATTCTTTGTACTACTCTTGCAAATTTTCTGTAAGTCTGAAATTAAACAAAAGCTTAAAAATAAATGTTTGCTGGGGAAAAAAGAATTTTCAATACTGCAATAATTTTACTGTTTTTCATAGAGCTATTCATTACACAAAATACACCCATAATTATTTAAATTTTTCCATCTGCATATACCCTAAACTATGGAAATTAGCCTATGTCTGAGAACCACATTAATATCCGAATTTATTTCTAAAGAATGGTAATGTACTAACTCTGTAACTCCCTGCATTTTGGAGTAGTTTCTGTCCCAAATTTATAGGCTAGAAAAACTGGCTATATGTAATTGGTTCTGATCTAATTCATAAATTCACATATGCCATAAAAGGGAGTTTAAGTACTTTAGCAAGTATATGGTAAAGCAGAAAGAACATTTGAATGAACTTGGAAACTGAGTTCTCATCCAGGTTAACCACTCACTACTGATATGACCAAGTAAACCTTAATCTCTAAGCTCAAATGTTCTCATTCATAAAATGAGGCAATTGGATAGGACAGCCTATGGTGTTTCTTTCCTTATTAAAAGTCTACACTTCCATAAAGCATTGGCTTTCTATTTATTCATCATGTTGTAACTGAGAAACCAAATGAAGCATCTCCCAGTTAAACTGGCCCTGCTGAAAAGTCCCTGGATGCTGGCCACCCACAGTGTCTTCCAAAGAGTCCTTCACACAGAAATCTTCATACTAAGTGCTGTGGCTACCCTGGCTACAGCTAGTTGGACCAGGAATGGCCACCATAAATGGCCCAGTATCCTCTGAAGGGTCCTAGCACAAGAGCTTCCCCAGTAGCTAGATTCTTTACAAAATGGGGACTGACCTAACTGATCTCATGTCTTTTTGGGGATTCTGAACACAGAACTTTCAGAGAAGAGAGAACTGTAAGATATTTTCCCTTAATAACAGTTATTTTAAAGGAAATTTAGTCAGTCATTTGATTGACATCCCAAGTGACCATAAGACCCCATAAAGTCAAAGGCCATTGCCCACTGCTGTCTCCTCTTGTACCTCACATGAGAGGCACTCAATTATTAAGGCTTTTATGAGCCACCTAAAACAAAACAGAAACAAACTCATAGATACAGAGAACAAACTGATGGTCGCCAAATGGAAGAGGTGTTAGGAAGATGATAGAAGAAGGTGAAAGGGACTAAGAGGTACAAATTGCCAGCTATGAAAATAATCATGGGGATGTAAAGTACAAAATAGAGAGTATAGTCCATGATCATGTAACAACTATGTATGGTGCCAGATGGATACCAGATTCATTGGGGGGATCACTTCATATGGTATATAAATGTCTCATCACTATGCTGTACACCTGAAACTAATATGATATTGTACATCAACTATAATTGCAAGATAAATTTTTTAAAATTTAAAAATAGAAAAAGAAGTTGCTTCATGATGAGAATAAATAAAGCCTCTTAGATATTTCAAAAGAAAAGAAAAGAGCAGAAAGAAGGAAAGGAAGGAAGGAAGGAAGGAAGGAAGGAAGGAAGGAAGGAAAGGGAGAGGAAGGAAGGAAGGAAGAAAGGGAGAGAAAGGAAGGAAGGAAGATCGGCTACAAAGATCAAAATGCTATGACAGAGCAGAAACAGTTATGAAAACAAAGAATCACATTTCTTCTAGTCCAATAAGCATGGATTAGCAACCATCAGTACTTCTACTTTATAGTTTTACTTCAATTATTTATTCATTTCAATGGAGGAATTACCATTTTCTGATTAGCATGGGTTCTGCTCTGACGTATAACAAAAATGCCACTGGGAATCAAACGAAAACTCAGCCTTTGAAAAGATTTCTCCCTGCTGCCAATGTATAGGTAAACTGACTCAGGATAAACAAAAACAAACAATGAAACACATTAGAAGGTGCTTATGAGTCATTTCGTCTTTGAAAATTTGGCTTTTATGAGTTAGAAAGATTTCACAGAACCATCTGACTTTGGGGGATGGTTTGTTTACCCTGATTTCCTAAAATTACTGGGATCAATTAAAGGTTTGAGATACCCTGAATTTTTCTTTCCGTTTTTTGGGGGCCTAATGGCCCATCTGCAGATCTGGACTCCTGTGTGCACATCTGGTCCATAATTTATAAAATGTGCTTATTTACATCTTTTCATTCTTACTTTCCAATGTTTTGAAATGTTCCTTCGTATATCTTTCTTTAACATACAGACACATCTTAGCAATAGGGCTGACACAATAGAGAGCAGTGAGGCATAAAACCATTAGGACTGATACTTGCCTCTTTACAAACAATATGATAGGAAGAATTTGTGGAACTATTATTGGAGGACATTGTGATGTGCCAGGCACTTCTACTTTGTGGGTTAATACTCACCTGAAATAGTTGGGGGCACACCTTCCTTCACCTGGACAATCACTTGGACTTGACCTTCACCTGAAACTGAAGACAAAAAGCCACAACTTGGATATGATGCAAAGAGTGTCTTAATACGAAGGATATTCATATGTGAGAAAGGAAGCTTTGTGCTATATTCTCCCCAACATAATGAAATTTTCAAAATAAAAAATAAAATCCTTATTAGTTAGTCTAACAATTGATTTCCAACATTTGATTTTCTTTGCTTTTATTTCATTAAACTTAACTGCAGTGAGGTCTCCTAGAGATTTGGCACATAAATAGGCTATAAAAACCTTTAGGCATATGTCCTTTGGAAGCCAATGTTGGGCAGCAGGGCACACCTCATACCCTATTTCTTCTCTGTCATTTTGAAAGCTCAGCTTGTAGAATTCATGATTTTTAGCAACAGAGTTCAGATCACCCATGAAATGTATTTGCTTTACCTTTATCCAAACAAATTGTCCTTTTAATGAAGGCTTTTCTCCACCCCACCCCCCTTTTCCCTCCCATCTTCCAAACCAACTGAGTACATTTAAAAGGCCTGAGGTTCATTAATTTTAAGTGTTCAATAAATTAGTGGAAATAATCAAAAGGCCTGATTCTTTCTGATAATGACAATTTGATGTCAGTATAAACCAGTAGATTAAGCTGGGAACATATGCTCCTTTGCCAAGAGAGGCTGCTATAATTAAATAGTGAATGCATCTACAAGGTGCTCTCACGCCTGATTAATTAGTAATCAGGTGCCCGAACTCCACTTTTCAGTAACACCTTGTCTCTTATTGGTTAATTACCTTTCTGCCTTATCAGATGTCATGGGAGCCAGCACCTCCCCACCACTGGAGGGCCCGGTGCTGCTAAAGGCTGCAGCCTTGAGACCTTGGCCAAACCCACACTCTCCGCTGGCCATTCCCTGAGACCTTGAGCCCTTCCTCTACCACAGAATGAAATAGAACAAGGATCGTTCTTCCTAATTATAAAGCATAGGATTTTGAATATTACAAAGAAAATCACCCCCAAAGGAATCTATGATGAGACCTCTCCTATTCTTCTAGGCAGATTTTGATAATTGTTCTCAGTTTAATTTCTTCCCATTATAAAAGGCATGAGTTTGTCAGGTACAATGGCCAGCATGTTCTTTTCCATGTTCTACTTCATCACTACTTCTAAGACTTCACTTATATTGTTTCTCTGTCCTGTTGCATAGTTCACCCAGTTTTCTGCCTTTAGTATTAATAACAATAAAGCCACTAGCCTAGCATCTTATCTCTTTTTTTATTCTAGAATGTTTAACTTATCCACTTCTGCTCACACTGACCTATGCATTTCCTAAAGTTAAAAAGTGCTTTAAAACGATACTGTGATATTTAGCCTAAGCTAGCTCTCAATGTAGCAAATATTTATCCAGCACCAACTGTTTAATTTAGGATAACAATTGCATCCATTGTTAGTTTGCTTTGTCTTTAAATCTTACTGGAAGAGATTTTTCTCATGTACTTTAGGACATTAAACATTGCTGAATACTTAATTTTCATGGACCAATCTAGAAATCCTAAGTTTATAGTGCTCTACCCTGGATACTCAGGACGTAACTGACAATTTCAACAAGTTAAACAAATAAAAGTAGGAAAGAATCCTCTTAAGGAACCAAAAAACAAAATTCTACAAAAGTTAAGCTCAAACGGAAAGAGAAGCGAAAGAGAATATGAACAAGATGATATCTAAAACCAAGCAAAGGCAGTAACAATAGAATACCCTTCCGCAAAAGGAATTGAAATATTATAACAGAATCAAACTCTAAGAAAGGAAAATGAGAATAAATTCCGGGAATCATTTGGAAAGGGAAGTCAGTTCACTTAGAGATATTATAAAAATCAGTCTTGTTAACAGATTCCAGGAGGTTGTAGATTTCAGGGCGTCCCTGCCCTCTCCCTAACACCCAGCCACTGAGGTAAGGAAAGCAAACAAGTAGTTACTGATAAAGGTGTGCTTCAAGTCACTCTAGTCATTTTATAGATTTATTTAACTTACAAGAGGAGTGGGTGGAGGAAGGGTAGAATAGAAACAATTTTCCCCACTAGGTAGATGATGAAATCTGAAGTAGCAGGAACATAATCAATATATCCAAAGTCCCCTAGTGAAAAAGATACTGTACTTACAGCACATTATAGTTATCATCGTGATGAGTAGCCTTAAAACTGGAAAGGCTAATCCTCAACATATCTAACTCCCAACACAGGCTGTCCCACGTCCTTTCATTCACTAAGTCACTTGCCCAGGTCCTGTTCTTGGTCAATCAAGGCTTCCTGGCTCAGGGAGCTCTCACGTCTGTAGCTCTGCACCAGCGGCTTCTGAACTGAGTGGCCATTGACCTTGTTCAGCTGCGTGTTCCCACCTCCTCTAAATCTTCTGCCCCTAAACAGACACTGAAAGGGTACACTGAAGAGCTACTGTTCGCTTCATTCAAGCAAGTGTGTGAATACCATTCAGTCTCAGAAAAGTAGTTTCTGTGCCAGTGGAAATGGAGGAAAGTTATCAAAAGTAGAAGAGTCTGGTTTTCTATCCCACCACTACTTATACATGCCCTTCTGCGGACTGGGTCAGAGCATGTGAGCATGGCTTGGAGGGCTAATTCTTTCCAAACACCATTGCCGCGTCGTGAGAGTGGTGTTATAGAGAGTGGTGGGGAAGAATGTGGATGCTGGAGTCCAAGAGCCTAAATTTGAATTCTGGGTCTTTCAGTTCCTAGATGTGGGCACCTGACAAGTTACTCACCATCTGAACCTCGGTCACTTTCTCTAAAAAATGGGAATAATCCTACTATCTACCTCAAAACATTACTGGGAAGAAAAGATGAAGCAATGTAATACACTGAGTGCAGTGCCTGGCACATAATGGAAAATAAAGTCAGCTATTATCGCCACTGTTATTATGACATGCTTATGATTCTAAGAGCCAGATAACAAAACCCAAGAAATACGCTTTTTATTCTTTTTACAGCTGCGCCTAATCATGATGAGCCATGGTATAGAGCTGTAAGCAATGTAACCAGCTCTGCTAAAATCTGTTAAGTGCTTTGACTCTAAAAAGACAGGGTAAATGTTAAGTGTCATTTCCAATTTGGATAAATACGAAAATCATTTGAGAATAAAGGTATTGTCTCGGGAAGAGTTTAAAAGCATTATACAAGCTGTGATATTGTACATATGTTTTCTCAGTGCTTGATTTCTGATTCTGTGTTTGTAATACGAGAATGGTTAATCTGCTCTGTTTATAAATGGAGACTTACTGCAGTTGATCCTTCCCAGATTGTAAGAATATCTGGTTGGTCCTCAAAAAGAAAAGAAGTATATGGGTCAATTATTGCCAAATTATGCTGACAAGTGTTATATGATCTGAGCTAGCAAGCTCAGATAGGAGGAAGAGGGAAAAGTGCTAAGAAAATAGCTCCCGGTAAGAGGAAAGAGAGATGCTCAGCTAGAAATGATACCAGTGCCCACCAGAGCTATGTGCTGTGCTGGCGAATTGTGTCCTCACTGGGGCACTAAGAAAGAGAAAAATGAATAATTCTCTCTTAGAATTTAGAGCGATAAATAGGTACCTACATGGAAAGAAATACGTGGCATCTTAGCAGGTTACAGATTCCTTTCCTGTTTTATTCTTTATTTATATTCCCATTCCCACTTTGCCCTTCAGGTTTAGGCACATATTAGGAGCTCTCGTTCAGCCCACATGCATATAGGTGAGTCAGCCATTGCCTACACATGGAGAGAACACAAAACGGCCACTGGGATCTGTGTCAGCAGATTTGGTCCATTCTCACCCTGGCCCATGCCTTCGCCTTCTCTAGCTGTTGTCGGATTTGGTCCTCTCTCTGCATTTTCAGCTTAGCTTGCCCTGTCTTCTACCACCACCTCTTTTCCCCCGATCTGCCTCACACACGGGCTGTTTCTACCTACCTGTTCAATGAACTGGACCTGGCTCCCCAGACATTAGCCTCCGTTACTTAAACACAGAGAAGGCTGCTTGTCAGTTGGTCCCTGGGCAGGTCTGGTTCACAAGACCACACTGCCGTCTGACTCCAGCTTTAGAGACAGTCACAGAGTTACCTTGGCCTTTAGAACACAGAGTCTTTTAAAAACCTTCACAGAAACATTTTATGAAAATTCTGTGATCCCCTTTGATTCCTCTATTACCCCCAGGGACATGCATCCTTGAAAGAGTGATTTTTTTTTAAGTGTAAGAGTAAAAGAACTTGACCGAAACACCAACAGATAGATAGATCTGCATTAACCACAGTCCTAAGAGTTAGCTCAATTAAATCTTCTTAATTAACTTAGCACACAATAACAATTGTTATTCTGATGCAGATAAATGTTTGCCACCTATGGGGCATCTGTGATTTCCTGGGCCCTGTGCAGACCTACAGAACCAGCACTTAGAGGGATGGGCCTGGTACCATGCATTCCAGCTGTCTGCCCATGAGGCACACTTAGAAGGCACCAAATTGAGGAATTTTACAACTTCTCTCATCCATACTCTCAAAAATGTGGTTTGTTCTCAGAAGCAGGTGTTCTTAACAAGTGAGGAGACCCAAATAAAAAAGAGATCCTTATGTTCACACTTCTTACTTTTAATCAATTGTACCAAAAGCTTGCAACCTACGTTATATTCCCAAAATATAAGATGTGAGGTGATCATTTTAATGGCCACCTGTGCCCGGCCCTTTGTGAATGAAGGGTAGCTGCCAGTGTCACTAAGCATTAGTTCCTTAATCAGGGATCCCTAGAAAAAGTATTTGATTCTGGCTTCTTAGTTTTCCTTCCTTCCTTCTTTCTTTCCATCCCTCCCTTTCTTCCTTCCTTTTCCTTTTGAAGAAGTTGCTTGTCATCAAGAGGCAAAATCCCTTCTCACCTTTCCAGCTCCTGTTCCATTCTCTGTATTTTTGCCATGAAGTTTACTGCATTTCCCTGAAGTCAGTTCGCCATATTACCCGTAAAAATCCTTGGGGATCTTGGGGGAATGAGTTTTCTATAAGAATG